GACCCTGAAGAAATATCAAATCACACTTGGTTGGGCTGGAAAAAGAAACTGTTATTCAAACATTCATCGAAAGCTCCTTGGATCAAAAGAGGAATTACATGATGATAATGAAAGGATTAATAGCAGCGATCTGAGGACATTCAGATGAGTCAGAGATTAAGTCAGACAAGAGGAATAAAGGATCATATGCAACTTTATACACCCTATAGTTCAGTTGTAATGAGACACCTTTGAACTACACACAGAAATATATAAAACATAATGAAGTATAACTTTTACTGATAGAAAATAACTAAAATAATAAATACATTTTACACGGGAAACAATCAGCACCACATTTGATCAGGAGTCTCTTTACCTTGGCTTCGTAACCGCTGACAACCTCTGTCTTCTCAGAACGCCAGCCCCAGATTCCTGACTTGTTCCTGTGTAAAATAAAGACAGACAGTAGGTCATGCACGGATGTTATCTACATAGACAGTGAGGTTCGGATATCCAGCTGTTACCGCTCAAAGGAAATGTTGCGCGTGTTGAGGTGTGTGGAGACGATGGGCGATGTGAGCCTCTGGGCCGTGTTCTCCTGGGAAGGCTGCATGGCTGCCAGGAGGGAGGGCGCATCACGAGGGGACAACACCAGGGGTTCAGTGTAAACCACCTGCTTCTCATGGTCCACCTCCATCACCACTGCACCATCATCTAAGGGAGAGAGACGGTAAATCAGCAAATGTAAAATAGACTGGGAATCTTCTCTGGTTCATTGATGGTTTTTAATCACTCACCTCCACCCTTGAAAATATAGCTGCGCCGTCCTTTTAGCCAAGTCATGTGTTCGAAGCCCAAGAGGGTGGTGTCAACACGGAGGCATGAGCCGCTTTTCCAAACCCGGTAGACGTCACTGGGGCAAACCTTTGACACCAAGGGAACTGGGATGAGAGCAGAGGAAGAGGAGAAATATTTTATACAGAAAGGGACAGAGAAAGACACAAAGTGGTAACAAAACAAGGTACATTACATGAAAATCTGATTTTATGTCTTTACCAAAGCAAAATTTGCCATCATTGGTCTTGCTGTTTTTTTAAATATCAAACAAACTAAGGTTAATGCCTAGCAACCTTTTTTCCACTCAAGGCTCCTGATGTTTTCACATCATTGATTTTTGTTTTCCACTTGCTATAAAAGGAATCACTTATACATTAGCCTAAGGCAACAAATCTATGAGGCCAGGTCTGAAGAGCCAAGACATAAAACATTTCAATTTGCATAACAATTTCTAAAATGTACTTTTTTTTTTACCACAGTTAAAAAAAAGGAAGATATTTCACCTAAAACATTTGTTTAGCTAATCAAATATGACACAATCTGATTCCTACATAGACTTCTGAGTATGGGATAGAACAGGGGTGGGCAATTCCAGTTCCTAAGGGCCGGTATCATGCAACTCTTAGATGCGAGTTGGGTTCAACACACCTGAATCAAGTATTTAGATGATTGAGAGGATTCTGGAGGAACTGTCTGCATACTGGGGAGGTAACTCAGCCATTTGATTCAGGTGTGTTGGTCCAAAGACGGCCCTAAAAGTTGCAGGATACCGGCCCCCAGGAACTGGCCGGTAGAAACCGACAGATAAAGTTTGTGCTGATGGTAAAGACTATGTTTTTCTTTTTTTATTCCTAAATTCTGACTTGTTTTTCTGCACATTGATGGCATATATATAAAAAAACAGCTTAGCTGGGGGCTTTCTTAGTACATTTAGTAGCAATAAACGAAACACAAAATTGAAGCATTACAAAATTATCAGTATTCACGTTTCTTAGCATGTCTTAAACTATTATTAGATGTTAAATTAACTAATCATAAACCATCAACATACAAGCTGATCATTTTGAAAGAAAAAAATTGTTGCATGTTCTTGGTTTTAAGAACCCCCGATTTTTCAAAATCTTAACAGTTGCTGACCGATCAGAAACGGAATAAATTGCACATTTCCAGTCTTTGCTCTGGTGATGAGTGTTTGTTTTCCTTCATCTCTCATCCCTGGTATCTAAAGGTGTCCTTTTAATGTGGACATCCTCTGCAGCTAGCAGGAGCTGTCCAGCCTCTGTGGTGCTGAAATACACCTCTGTTTGGAAACCTGAACTCCACTCACCCCAGCTGGTGAACTCCCACTTCATCTCCACATAAAAGTCCCGCGCCTGAAAGCACAAAAGAAGTGTGTTTACAAGTTGATGAGGCAAAACTTTCCTCAAACATCTGCCATCTTCTCCTGAAGATTTTTAGACCCTGAAATACCTTGAAAACATTGATCAAAGCAGAAAACATAACGTAGACAGTGTAGGTCCTTGATTTAACTGGAAGCATCTTTGAAAAGTTGACTTTAGAACATCAGAGAGGAGTGTGTGGATAAAAAAATGAAATATTATAGATTAAAGGATGATTTGACCTGTCTCAGTTTGCTGAGAAGCTCCGGGATGCCCGCCAGTCTCTCAGTAGCTCGCTTAAAGTCTCTGTACTGAAGCACCAGCTGCACCAGCTCTGGGTCCCCGGTGCTCACCGCCTCCTGCAAGACTGAAGCAAATATCCAGGCGGTTAAACTGACAGCAGGCTGGGGACGCGGGGCAGCAGCTTAAAAGGCACTTACTGGTCCAACCCTGTGAGTTGCAATAGGTCGGGTCTGCAGAGTACCTGAGCAACACCCGGGTGGACTCCAGGTGGCCCAGACATACAGCCAGCTCCAGAGGGGTGCGCCCCCGCGGATCCAGTCGATCCAGATCCTGCTGCACCTCCGATTAAACCCAAACAGAAGCTGCGTCAGCGCACTGCGGCGCCACAGAAAAGCGCACCTGTAGGAAAGCCTCCATCCGAGCAGACTCACCTCTTTCTTCTGCAGCTCACGGTCCAACTCTAGGTACTGATTGTTCCAGACGAGAACATGCAAAGGAAAGGCCTCCTGAGCCATGGCCGACAAAGACTTTTAGAAGGGATCGCACAGAAATTGATCGCCGCTGGCTAGCTAACTAGCTAGCTTCAGCGGTTTGCTTGGAAATGTTAAAAACTATGAGAGGAAAAGTTTGTCACTTGGGGAAAAAAGCCACTTGGTTGCCTAATGGATATATCTACTGTTAAGCAGTAAAGCTTGTAGTGGGAAAACAGCCCACTAGTTAACTAGCAGCTAGCTGGCTAACCTTAGCTAACTAGCTAACAACATTGTTTTCAGCCTCTGTTTGCTGCTGGTTTCCATTCTGCAGGATGGGTTTGGTTCAAACAACAAACGAAGAGGAGTTTCCTTTCATGCTTATTAAATACGCATCGTGGAGCAGTCAAAGAAACTAAAAGCAGATATAAAAGTTAGCTAGCTTGCCCCCCCGGTGCAGATGAGAGCATTCTCTGTTTCCATCGCTGCTTTAACCAAAATAAAGCAGATGTGGTCCCCTGTTCCGCTTCCACATCCAGGTCACTCCAGTTCAGAGCCAGAGATGATGATAGCAGCTGATCCTCTGTCTACAACTTTACCACAATTACCAGCTGCGTTTATCTAGATGGAAGAGGCTTTGTTTCCAGGTGGCAGAGATGCTGGGTGGAGCCCACAGGGAAGGAGCTTATTTTCTTTTTTTTCTTCTGTCAGCCATCCATGCAAATCTTAGAGCTGTGTTCAAGTGTTTCCTCCCATAGATTACCTTTTTTTAATCTAACAGTTGATTGTATGACAACATAAAAATGCATTTTAAAAGGAAAGATTTATTATATGAAAAGTGAAAATTAAATGTCCCTCTCATGTCAGAACATGATTAACCACATTGATTGCACTGGTGATACTATGGGCTGATTATTGCCTGAGCTGATGATTAAAACGGTTTATTGAACCTGACAACAAAAAATGGATTAAATAAAAAAAAAAAAAAAGAAGCAAAACATCTGGCCCACATCTAATGAAATTCTAGTACATGTAAGCAAAGTCGCAGACTTCTATCAGTCTGGGGAGGATCTAAAATGAAAGAGGATGGTGGAAGTCATTATCCACAAACTGTGAAAATAAGTAGCAACTACAAGCCACTCAAAAAGGAATACTTTTATGTAAAAAACAAAAAAAATAGAAATTAAAAACTGTTGAAAACTGAATACAAATGCTAATATTTGTCAAACAGAAGTAGATTTTTTTAAAGGTATGTGTCCACTTAAACCTGGTGTAAGACTTTATGCCTTTCAGATAAAATAACATCCTACAGTGAAACAAGTTGTGATGGCTGCTTTGGAAAATTGAATTAAAAGAATAACGAACTCTGCCTCAGTGATCGGTTCAAGATAGAAAAGCACTTTGGTTTTGCAACGGCACACCAGATGGTCCATCTCTGAATACTCGGTAGAAAAATGGTTTTAGCAAGATCTTGTTAAGGTAGACGAGTCTGAAGGAGATGCCATAGAACCCATACCCATGAATAGTCTGCTCAGTAACAATAGTGTCAATTTTAAAATAAATTACAAGGGACCAACTTTCTCCACAGCATTCTAAATAAATCATAGCTTTCATTAATAACATTCATTTTAGAACTCCATTTATCTTTTTCCTATTAAAATGCATTTGCTCTGAAGTGTTTTAGAGGTGTGGTGGAGTCGGTAATTACTGAAATCACTGTCAATTTTCTTTATTTTTCTTGAAAAATAACATGGAAGTTGAAAAAAAAAAAAAGCTTCTGAAAATAATTACAATGCTACAGGATCTGTCCGTTTATAGTCTAAAAGAAAAACACATTTACACAAAGTAAATATTTATATAATTATATTCATTCTCAAGAGATATGGCCAGGAGAGCAGACAGGAGGAGAGCTTGGTTTCAGAGATCTAACACTTGAAGGGAACAAAAACAAATGAGCAAACGCTCCAAATGAAATCTTACACCTCCACGCAAACGGACAAGTGAACAAAGGTGACTACATCTCTTCCTCTCTCTCTCT